TCAATTTTAAAATGGATAGGGTTTTCCACGGAAGGGGTAATAAATTTAACTTTTTTTTTTTTTTTAGAATACATATACTGATATAAAGGTAATTTGATGTGTTAATTACTTCTACATTTAGCTGCCTGCAATGTTTGATTCGAAAGGTGTTCTTAGTATCCTTCACCATCACCGCCAATATAACCAAGCAAGATGGGTACCGGTTCTGGATGTTTCAATTAATCGTAAAGAAGAAGAAATAAATTGGGTTTATTGGCCTGTTTGGCTTACTGGAACAACCCTTTTTTGTTTCATTTGCAAGGTGACAATTAAAATCTTAAATTCTATACCACACATATATTTATAATAATCAATATATCTTTTATGAAGGGTGGTGATGCCTATCCTAATATCCCTCGACCACTTTTCGATGAGATTAGTTGGAAAATTCCAATTTGGAATTTAGACAGACCAGCAGGCCAATTTGAAGAAAAGCATGTGTTTTAAATTGATATTTTTCATGCTTATATCACGTGAAATAGTACTAAATTAATCATTTTTAGATTTGTACGATTGTCTATTGTCACGAGTTTTGAATTTGAAGAAGCCATGGCGAAGAATGAGTTAGACAAAGTGCGACAAAATATCAAAATGAAAAATAAAGAAATGGATAAAGCATTAGTGGAAATGATTCATGTTTGTATCGTTTATATTATCTGCTTTTATGTTTTTTTTTTAATTCAAGTTCTAATTCAATTGATTCAAATTATAGTTGGCTTGTAAAGAAGAGAAACAACAGCGGGCGTTAGATTTAGCTAAACTAATGAATACATTAAAATCTGTGGAAAGTGCAATAAAGCTTGCTTCATATAATCAATGTAATGTTTTGGCTGAAAAAATCCAACAATTTAAAGAGGTATTTATTTTCTTATTTTTCTTATATCTATTTTTTTAGTTGATGCAGTATATGTAATTAACCATGTTTAAAGACAAAATTAGTTGAATTACAGAAGTTATCGCAGTAAAAGGAGAGGATTAGGTATTGATGCTTTAGAAAAAATAGTAAGAAAATGTAAAAAATGCAAACAAACTGGTTATTATGCTCCACGATGCCAAATGTTTAATATACATGTGATAATTGTTTTGTTAAATAAATATCTACATAATATATTTGTGCATATGCATATACGCGTTTAATATATTAATATATCAGATATAAGTAATGTCACTATTGGTTAAAAATAGTAATAAAATTTGTAAATTTAAAATTTGACTATATAAAAAATTTTAAAAACTTCTAATATTATAATTTTAATTATTATTTATTTTATTTATTTTATAAAAATAATATTTTTTTTATTAGTTGTAAATTAAAAATTATTACTATTTTGGTATAGTATAATATTAGTTTATATTTAACAAATTTAAAAATATTTTATTAAATAAATTTTTAAAATTTTTATATAAAGAGTGTAGTAACTTAGTAAAATAGTTAAGTTGTTACTCCTCAAGTAGCATGTTAAGCAGATTGGGAGTTTGAATTTCACTAGTGATAAATTTAAATAATCTACTTGTTATACAGCTACTGTCTTTTAATAATTTGTTAAAATAAATTATTTGTAACTTTGTTAGTATTAACAAGTTTAAAAGATTATAAAATTTGTGCAATATATAAGTTACAAGAAGGTGATAATATGGGCTGCCGTCAATAGAAATAAGGCAAATTAACATTTTAAAAAAATTTAAAGCCTTAACTTTTACAGCTCATA